TTGCCGGTCACAAAAAAAAAAAAAAAAAAAAAAAAAAAAAAAAAAAAACTTCTGTGTGCATCAGGCAGGTGTAGGAAGCTGCTCCACTCATAGCCACGTCTCCTGGCAATCATTCCCTGTCCGTAAACAGTTTTCCTGTTCTTTTTCCCAGATGCATAGTGTTCTGTCTGGTGGCTACAACATAATCTATGTAGCCGGTTTTCTGGCTGAACAGACATTGGGTCATTTCATGTCTTTCTGTAGAGATGATGTCATAGTAAATATACTTACAGAGCTCTCATTGCACATGTGTGCATGTGTCAGGATCAACCCCTGAAAGTGTCATTGCCAGGGTCCAGGGGTGTGCACTGGGAAATTTCAGATTCTGCAGAGCTACCCTCTGCAGAGATAGCAGGGCTGTACATAGGAGTGAAGTGCCTGTTTCTCCCCCCACTGTAGTGTGTCACCCAAATTTGGGCTTATCAGCACTCAAAAAAGCAACCCAGCTGGCTTTGCGGCAGACCCTTCTCAGACACAGGTGGCGGCACCCACCGTTGCCAAGGCCTCCTAGGTGCCTGATGCCAGGAGCTGCCTGGCATGCAGTAGGTCTGTAACACTCCACCCCATGCTGCCAGGAGCCCGTGCAATTCCCTGAGCATCGCGCATGTCCCCATTGCATTTCCCATTATGTTTGTACTTCTCCTGCCAGGGCCTTCCTCTCTCGGCGCATTTCAGCCCCATGAAGGTAGGGGCTGTGCCTGTGCACTGTCGTAGCCATGTCCGTAAATATTTGCCCGGTGACTGTCTCCAAAGTGCGTCTCCAGCTGTGATGTGCCCTGGGGCTCTGGCCCCTATACCCCAGGCCTCTCCACCTGGCCTGCTTCCAATCTTGTCAACCTGGACCGTCCACACGTCTTCACACCCTTTGCTTTTCCATCCTGTTTCTGTTCCCATGCACCTGCCATCTGCTGGCTTGTGGGGCCACAGACCCTGCAGCTCCTGGATGTAGCTTGCCTTCCCTTAATCCCCGTGCTCCACTGGGGAAGCCTCTCTGCTCCCCTTTGAAATGATGCTCTGCGTCTCTCCCTTGCTGTCAGGGTCCCACATAGCAGTTTGAAGTCTCTTTTTACAATTAATTTACATCAGATTTATTCCCTGGGTAAAAACCTGCCATTAATGTCCCATTGTCCAATAAATGTTTTCTTTCTGTACAGCCCCTGCCCAACACTGTCCTCACCTACCACCCACTCTTCCTGTTCCTTTCTTCTTATTATAGCTATGAGCCGGCCTTCAACATAAATAGTTTTTGATTCCACTTATGTAAAATGTCCAGAAAAAATGAGTCTGCGGAAACAAGACTAGTGGTTGCATAGGGCTGCAGGTGACTCTGGTCATGAGAGATCTTTTTGGGGTGACAAAAATGTTTTTTTTTTTTTTAAAGATGACCGGTAAGGGGATCTTAACCCTTGACTTGGTGTTGTCAGCACCACGCTCTCCCAAGTGAACCAACCAGTCATCTCTATATAGGGATCTGAACCCGTGGCCTTGGTGTCACCAGCACCACACTCTCCCAAGTGAGCCACAGGCTGGCTCTCTGTTCCTTTCTGTTTATTTAACCAGTTAGACTTGTTCCTGCCCCAGTGCCTTTGCACATGCGGTGCATGGCTCCTTCTAGTCATTCAGGCCTCATTGCTGAGGCTATCCCCTCATGGAGACCCTCATCTCCCATTACCTCCAGTCCCCTCCTCAAAGCACTTGCCACTCTCTGGAATTACAGTAGATGTTTAATTTTTCATTTCTCATGGCCTGTCTTCCTAATGAGGCTGAGAGCTACATGACAGTGACAAACAGCCTTGTTGGCCTCATTCAGTGCCAGTGCCCCACACCTGAAATGGGCCCCAGCGCACAGTAGGTGCTCAATAAGTGTGTGTGGAAAGGCTGAGTAAGGAGATTTTCACACTTCACTGCAGACCAAGCCTGCAGGGTTGTTCCAAGGGGTCTCCTCAGTTTCTACTTAAGGGCCCAGAGGCTCATGGACCAAATAGGTTCCCACGGCCCCATGTCTCATCCATGCCAGGGCTGGGACGGGGACCCTAGTCGTCCTGACTCCAGAGGCTGGCTCACGCTGCTGGAATGACATGAGCCAGCCATGCCCTACCAGGTCTCTTGTTCACTGTGTTCCCCGGGGCCCAGTCATAAGGACGCCTCCATGGCTGCCTTCCTCTCTATTCTGCTGTGGCTGGCATCCTTTTCTGAGGCATGTCCTGCCTTGTGGCCAGCGTCTACCTTCTGTGAGGTCCAGATTCTTTCAGAGTTTCTGAGAGCTCTAAAGAAAGGGACTGGGGGGCTCCTTGCAAACGAACAGCCCTCTCACTGCCTCTCTTTTTCTGTCTTTGTGTTTCAGGCTGCAGGCTCGCATCGCACACCGAATTCAGGAACTTGAAAACCTTCCCGGGTCCCTGGCCGGGGATTTGCGAACCAAAGCGACCATTGAGCTCAAGGCCCTCCGGCTGCTGAACTTCCAGAGGCAGGTGGGCTCAGGCGTGTGGCCCTTGCTGTAGGAAATGGGCCCTTCTCACCAACGTTGATGCTTAGATTCCAAGATCTTCTTGCTGGACCATTCTTAAATGTTCCTTGACTGTTAAAAGGCAGGCATGCCCTCCCTAGGTCGGTAGCCCCTGTCCCATCCTTCCTCTCCGTGTTCTGCATGACGGTCATGTGATGACTAAGCATGTGCCTGCCTTCTCCAAGGCAGCAGTTGCCACCTTGAGGCATGGGTCTGCTTCTGAGGGTGCCGTAGTTGGCGAGTGACCCTAGGGAATTCTGTGTGTGCTTGAGGGGTGAGAGGACCCTCTGGCCAGGTGTCCAGAGTGTTCCTCTTCTGCTTTGTGCCTGCCCTGCCTGAGGGCACCTACCACATGTCCTCCATACATGGACTCTCCACCATCTGCCCCGTGAACGATGTGTGACTGCACATGTCATTGTGGACATCACAAAGCCATGCCCGGTGCCAGTTTCTCTTTCTCTTTCCTACAGCTGCGCCAGGAGGTGGTAGTGTGCATGCGGAGGGACACAGCCCTGGAGACAGCCCTCAATGCCAAGGCCTACAAGCGCAGCAAGCGCCAGTCCCTGCGTGAGGCCCGCATCACTGAGAAGCTGGAGAAGCAGCAAAAGATTGAGCAGGAGCGCAAGCGCCGGCAGAAGCACCAGGTGTGTCCCCTGCTCGCCAGGCTGCCCGCTGGCGTGGCCGCAACCTATCCCTTGTTGCTCTTTCATTTTGGTAACAGTATTATAGGTGCTGAGACAAAGCCAGCTGGTAGGGGGAAGACGGCAGTAATCAGATCCACATGTAACATGCTGGGCCTGTGATAGGGTGTCAGGAAAAGTAATATGGAAAGAGAGTATGAGGAAGGAGGTGTTTTAGACATGGTAGTCAGGGAAGTTCTCTCTGGGGAGATGAGATCTGAGCAGGACCGAGGGAGGGAGCCACATGGATGTGTGGGCGGAGAGCTTCTCAGTTAGAGGGGAACGTGCAAGGCCCGGGGGCAGGACTGTGCCCGGGTCTGCTATGAAAAGTAAGGCTCCTGGTTTAGCCGGAGTGGAGTTAATAATGACGGGGAGAGCCAGAGGACATGAGGGCAGGTAGGTGACGAGGCAGGTTGTTATGCAGGGCCTTGTGGGCTTTGGGGAGGATTCGGGCTTTTGCTTGGAGCAGGGTGGGAGAGATTGATGGGACTTCGGTTTTAACAAGATAAGTTGAGGACACTAAAATCTCTAAACCTAAAATTGAGTAAGATTTGGAGATGCTTCTGTTTAGTGTTTGGTCATTTATATTTTCTAAAGATTTTCTACAGTCGATACCTATTATTGGTATAAGTTAAAATAATGTAGAAAAAGCCAACACTCAAAGTCACCACTGTTAACATTTTGGTATGTGTCATTTCAGCCTTTTTTCTTGTGTTTACTTATCAATAAAAAGTTAAATAGCTATATTTTTATAAAACTTACACATATAGATCCATTTTTAAGTATTGTAGAAACATGATTTTTAACGTTTACATTATATCCATCTGGTATGTCCAGGATCCAGTAATTTATGTCACCATTTCCCTGTTTGGGGACATGTGTATTTTCAGCCTTTCAAAATGAAAAATTACACTGGGATGGCCCTTCTTGTGTTTGAAGTTTCTTTGGCCAATTTCTGATACTTCCTGAAAATAAATTCCTAGCTGTGGAATAACTTGGTTGGAGGGTGGGAGCGTTGTTGAAACTTTTAATGGACAGCACCAGGTTGTTCCCAGCATGCTGTGTACAGTCATCTGTTGGGTGCAAGGGCCTTTCTCACCCAACAGTTGCCAGCACTATTTTATCATTACAGAGAGAAAGCAATCAGCATCACTGTTATTTCAACTATGTTCTCTTGTTCTTAAACAAGCTGGCTTTAACGTTTTGTCTCACTGGGGGAAACATTATGGTGACTTCCGTGGATTAGTCTTCTCTTCTGTGTGTGTCCCTGCAGGAATACCTCAATAGCATTCTTCAGCATGCCAAGGATTTCAAAGAATATCACAGATCGGTCACAGGCAAAATCCAGAAACTCACCAAGGCAGTAGCTACATACCATGCCAACACCGAGCGGGAGCAGAAGAAAGAAAACGAAAGAATTGAGAAGGAGAGAATGCGGAGACTCATGGTAAAATTCTGTCATCTTGATTTTGGTCCCTTTGTGGGTGCATTGGGTGGTGCAGGTGCCAGGAATTGGTTGCACAGTGTTACGCTGAGGAATTTTGAAGCTCAGAGTCAAGGGTGGGGCAGAGGGGTTTGGGAGTCAGAGTCCTGAGCTCTGACCTTTGCCTGGTCCCTTTGACCATCATAGTGACTGAGTTATCTCGGACCAGTCAACCAGCTACTCTGTCTTCCCCCTGGTCCTTGTTGAGCGCTGCACATGGTGCAACCCAGACACCCTACTTCCAGAGTAAATGTCTCTGACCATTTATTCTTGCACATGTTGCTGTTTGGGCAGATAGTGACAGCCTGGTCTGTGCCAGGTGCTGCTGTGTGTATGGGGGACACAGTTGGGAACAGGCCACAATCCCTGCCCTCATGAGGCTCTTGCTTGCACTTGAGGGACAGACACTCGAGCAAAACAAACAGGGGCAGATAGTGACAGCCTGGTCTGTGCCAGGTGCTGCTGTGTGTATGGGGGACACAGTTGGGAGCAGGCCACAATCCCTGCCCTCATGAGGCTCTTGCTTGCACTTGAGGGACAGACACTCGAGCAAAACAAACAGGATAGCTTTGGATTGTGAAAGGTGTAGTGAGGAGTTTGGAGCAGGGCGAGGGAGTTGGGACGGGTAGGTTCCATGAGGAGGCCTCAGAACAGGAGCCCAAAGCGGGGCCTGCCCCATGAATGCAGCCATCTGCAGAGGAGCCCCTGGAGAAGAGGAAACCAGGGCAAAGTGGGGGGAAGCCAAGTGCGAGATACAGCAGGTGGCTTTGGGTCCCCAGAACATCGTGGGGCAGGGTTAGGGGTGAGGTCAGAGGGCTCACTAGGGTGGGTCACGTGGGGCCTTGCAGGCCATCGGGAGGACTCTTGATTAATTCTGAACATGAGGGAGCCCTAAGG